ATTATAAAAAAATCCATTCATAAACAAATACTTTTAAATAATTTATTTAAAAAAAAAATAATGAATTATAGAAAAATAAGTAAAAATGAAAATTCCCCAAAAATATTCAATGACGACGAAAACAAAAATTTTAATTATGAAAGAAATTAAATTGATAAGCTTTCCAGTGGTTTCCAAATATTAAGAGAATATATATTTAACAATAAATACGATTTTTTATCTGTTTGTAGTACATATGACCCAAAAGAAACCCATTAAATATTAAAGGAAGATCTAAGATAGGCATTAAATAGTGATAAAAAAAGGTTTTATTTTACAGCAGAAAATATAGAAGATATTATAACGGATGCTATTTAAAATTATTCAAGTATAAAAAATATGATACATTATGATGAAATGTATTCTATTATATAATCGCATAAACCGAAGACAAAGTAAAATTTAATAATAATATGTTTTATAAATAAAAAATATAGATATAGTTTAGCAAATTTATTATGTGCTTATTAATATAATTCAGATGATAATTATATATAATATTGTAAATAATAATTGAAAATTGACTAATAAAATTTCTGGGATAGAAAAGAGGAATTTAATTTTAATTTTGTAGAATTAGATCGTTTAGAATATAAAATTAAGCAAACATAAAAAGATAAAGATGAAAATATTATTCAACGAACAATAACATAAGGAAGTTAATAAAGCCAATAAGAAAAACACGAAAAAAGTATTAAAAATTTATATGAAATGAATAATGAAACTATACTAAAAAATTTTGATGCTCGAATTGCAAAGTTAATATCTAAAATTATCTAACCATCAAACATAGTATAATTATAAGATGATTAATTATAAAAAATTTTACCTAATTTTCTTAATATAAGAACTGATACCTATATAAAATAAATATTTTATAATGATTTTAATTAGTTAATATAAAAAAAGCATAATTATTATGAACATTTTATTTAAAAAAATATATATATAATAACTTTATTTGAAATATATAAAAAAAAAATATACTTGTATTTATAAATATTTTATAATTAAAAAATAGATTAATGAAAAATTATTTTAGAGAAATCGAATTAACAGATGATGAAATTTAGCTTTTATATTATAGAATAAATGAAGATAATTCCTTTGGAGCTTTTACATATGTAACATTATCCTAATGGATAAATAAACAGCGAAATATGAAAATAAGAGAATTAAGAACTATTGCTATAACAGAAAAAGACTAAAAAAGAATTCTTTAAAAAAAAGATGTTATTCCTAAACTTTTTAAATAATTAGTTAAATATGCATATAGTTATGGTTTAAATTTTATTCATAGTTCTTTAAAACCTTTAATTGAAAGGGAAGATTTTATATAATTGGATAATATGTAGCTTTATTTTAAAAGTTTAAATATACCTTATATATCTTAAGATATTAACGACTTTAAATTTTATTTAGCCAATAATGGTGTTTTGCATTTGGAAGGAAACGATAATAATAAATACTTGAATTCTATTATATATTTAAAAGCTGAAAATTTAATGAAAACAATATCAAGTGAAGCCGAATAAATAACATTAAAATAATTAAATTTAAAGCAATATTCAACAGTCCTTTCAAAAGAAACCGTCCGAAAATCAGTTCAATCTAAAATTCTATAAGGAGTTATAAACAGAATGTAATTAAAAATATAAGCCTACTCAGATGAAAATGACCTTATTTAAGAAATTAAACTAAGACAAATTGTTTCAGATACTTTTCCAGAAATAGACTAGGCAGATTTAGATATAATTTTCGAAAAAATGTAAAATGTAATTTAGCCTACAAGATATCATACTCAAAGGAAAATTTATGTCCCAGAGTTTATAAGTTTTATTTTAAGTGGTCCTTTATTTGATGAGGATCCTTAATAAATTATCTTTTAAGATTTATAATAAAAAAAACTAACACTAAAGTCTAATACTACTGAGTCTATAGATAGTCCTATGCGTTAATATAGTGAAGGAAGGAATTCTCCATCAAAATAATTTATTAATTTAATTAATAATAATAATAATAATAATAATAATAATGAAGAAGAAAAAAGTCTTTTTAGAAAAGTTAATATGGAAAATATTTAATGGGAACCAGAATATAATAAAGTAGCTTAAAATATTGAAGAAATTTAAAATAAAATTGATAAAATTGATTACTAAAAAGGAGGATTTATAAAGGAAAATACATTAGCTTTTACTAATAAGCCTTTAAGTGATCGAAAAGTTATTTGTAAATTTATAGAATGCCTTAAAAAGAAAATTTTGGTAGGAAAATTTTCACATTTAGAAGGATTCGAAGCTGTGGATTAGGTGTTGATTGTTTTAAGGGAAAAACTAGCTTATTTAGATAAAAGCTTAAAAGGAGTTATTTCTTCTAATTTGCTTTTTAATTTTATTCGATATAATTTTAATGAATTGAGTATATAAGAATGTTTCTAACTTAAATATATTGCTGAATGTTAAGCAAAAACAGAATAATATATAAAATATAATGAAGACGAATCATATATTAGCTATTCTTACTTTTGCTTGTAATTACATAAATTTGTTTGTAATAAAATGTTATTTGATAAATGAATAAAAAAATATATACAATTTGTAAATTTAATTTTTTTTTTAAATATATACATAATATTTATTTTTTCTCTAAAATAATTTGAGTTAATTTTTTATTTAATATTATGTATTTTTTTTTATATAAATTTGAATTTTTTTCTTTAAAAATTATGCAAAATAAATTTTTTGATTTATAGTAAAGCATGCACTAGTATAACTGATTTTAATTTGAATTTCTTCATTTTAATACAAATTAATACACATATATATATATAAGTATTATTATGCTTTCTAATATTTTAAAAAAAGAAATTTAAGAAGAAGTATAAATATAAATTTTTTATATAAAACTTTAAAGTATTTAAAGTTTTAAATTACTTATATTGATTTTGATTTAATATATTTTAATCTCAATTTAAAAATTTGAGATTAAATCTTATTTTAACAATAATTTTAAGACTAATAATTTTTCTTATGATTTATTTTTTTAATTAAAGACTTTTTTTTAATAATTTAAATTAATTATTTTTAAAAAAATTAATTTATAGTAAAAATAAATATAAATTTTTTGTTTAAGATACTTATTTATTTACCTCTTTTAAAATAAATAATTTCATTGAATAATTAAAAAAAGGTAAATAATTTTATATATATTATTTTGATTAAATTTTATTTTTAATTAATAATAAATCAAAACATATATTTTAAATAATATTTCTATTTTAAAAAAATCAAATATTATTATTTGTCTTGCATTAGGTCATTATCGAAACATTTTAAGAATTCTTATTTTAAGAAGAATTTTTAAAAAAACTGTTTTTAGTATGCATTCCTAATTCTGCTTTTATTTTATTTTTTTCATCTTTCGAATATTTAATAATTTCCTTTATTTTATTTCTTTTTTCTTCAATTACATCATATTATTATTCGTCTATCTTATAAAGTTTTTCTTCATCATTTTATTACTTATTTAATTATTAAATTTTTATTATTTCCTTCTTTCCACATATATACATTATTAATTTTTATTTAACATAATTCTAATGGTCTCTAATTTCTTTATTTTTAATAGAATTTTATTCTAACAAATTTGATTTGTTTTCTTTTATTAAATTTAGATTTAGCTAAGATATTTATTTTAACTAACTTTTCTCTTTTAATTTTCCCTATTCTAACTTTTATTTTAGAGATTTTAAAAATTAAGTATGCTCTTATCTTAAATTTTTATATTTTTCTTATTTTTCTTTTTTAACTTCCTCCTTTTTTTCTAAAGCTTTGTCTATCTTTATATTTACATATATATATATTTAACAATATAAGAAATAATATATCGTGCTCATATATAAATATCAAATTAAAAAAATATTTCAAGTTGATTAAATAAATAATAAAATAATTTTGGTGGATAAAAAATTAATTAAATTATTTGAAAAAATATAATATATGAACCTATATTAATATTTTTTGTTTTATATATATAAAAAACTTTAAATTACTTCGTCTTTTTACTTTTTCACTTATTCAGAAACAAATTTTACTTTTTCTAGTTTTTTCTCAAACATTTATTTCAACTTATTTTCCGTTTATAATTATATTTATAAATTTTTTAATTTTTTCATATCCTTCTCATAATTTAAAAAAATTTATTTTTATAATTTATTTTTTATCCAAATAGAATCTTTATGTTTTAAAGAAAGATCTTTAAGAAATTTTACTTCATCATTTTTTACTTAAGGAGATAAATAAGGAATTTTAGCATTTTTTAATATATCCTATGTTATATAAGATGGAGTTAATTAATATGCTTATTATTTAGATTAATAATGGCTGTATTCATTCATTATTTAGCCTATGTTTATATCAATATTTTTTTCAAGTAATAAAGGCAAAATCTTCTTTTATACATTTTATATTTAATTTTAATTTATTTTATAAAGCATTTGTTTATTTATTCTTTATTTAGATAAATATATATAAGAATAGTTCACTCTATGTATATATGTTTTACTTTTTTTATTTTTTATAAAAAATTTTATATAAATATAATATATTATTTATTTAATATTTTTTTTTTTTTTTTTATTGAATGGTTAGTATAAAAATAATTTTTTAAAGCATTTTTATTAATAAAATAATGATAGGAATTATATAAATATTATATTAGGATTTTTTTAAATAAAGATTTAATTATATAAAAAAAAAAAAAAATTATAATAATTAAATAAAAAGATAATAAAGAAATAAAAAAATTTAATTAAATAAATTACAAATATATTTACATAATTAATAAATATTTATAAATATATTTATACATATAAATATACATATATATGTATATATATATATTTATATAATTTTGTTTTTTGAATACATGAAAAAATTAAATTTAATTAAATAATTTAATTAATAATAATATAAAAATCATGTCTTCAGACATTAGCGCTGCTAAAGTACACGCATCAGCTGCTCTTAGAGATTATAATATAGCTCCTCGTGCTGATTACAGGACAGTATGTAAAGTTGATGGCCCTTTAGTTATTTTAGATAATGTTAAATTCCCTAAGTAATTATAATATATATAATTAATATTATATAAATACAATTTTTTTTAAAATTAAAATGAAATATTATTTTTTAAAATATCTTATTAATTTTATACATTTAATATAATTAATTTCTTTTTAATTCATAATTTTAATATTTATAAAAATTAGATTTTCCGAAATAGTTAATGTATGCTTAGCTGACGGTTCTATTAGAAAAGGACAAGTACTAGAAATATGTGGTAAAAAAGCCGTCGTCTAAGTAAAAAATAAATATAAAAAATATATAATATAAAAAATTAAAATAAAATAGATATTCGAAGGTACAGACGGAATTGATAATTTATATACTCACTGCGAATTTACTGGTGAAACTCTTCAAATGCCAATTGCCGAAGAAATGCTTGGAAGAGCTTTTAACGGTTCCGGAACTCCTATAGACAAAGGACCTCCAGTTTTAGCTGAAAAATTTTTAAATATTAATGGTTCTCCAATCAATCCTTGTTAGCGTGTATATCCAAAAGAAATGATATAAACAGGAATATCAGCTATAGATTGTATGAGTTCAATCGCTAGAGGATAAAAAATTCCTCTTTTTTCCGCCAATGGTCTCCCTCATAATGAAATAGGAGCCCAAATAGTGAGATAAGCCTCCCTTGTGAAAGGAAAAGATGTATTGGATCATTCCGAAGAAAATTTCGCTGTTGTTTTCGGTGCTATGGGTGTGAATATGGAAGTCGCAAGATTTTTCAGAACCGATTTTGAATAAAATGGATCTATGGAGAGAGTTGTTTTATTCTTAAACTTAGCCAACGATCCTACTATAGAAAGAATTATTACCCCACGTTTATCTTTAACAACTGCTGAGTAATATTTAAATAAATAATTAACATTTATATAAAATATAGATATTTAGCTTATGAAAGAGAATTACATGTTTTAGTTATTATGACTGATATGAGTTCATATGCTGATTCTTTAAGAGAAGTTTCCGCTGCTAGAGAAGAAGTGCCTGGTAGAAGATCATATCCAGGTTATTTATACACAGATTTATCCACAATTTACGAAAGAGCAGGTCGTGTAAATGGAATTAACGGTTCAATTACTTAAATTCCTATATTGACAATGCCTAATGATGATATTACACATCCTATTCCTGATTTAACTGGATATATTACTGAAGGTTAGATTTTCATTGATAGCGTAATAACTTCGTATAGTAAATTTATCCACCAATTAATGTTTTGCCTTCATTATCTCGTTTAATGAAATCTGCTATAGGAAAAGGTATGACTAGAATCGATCATCCTGAAGTTTCTAATCAATTATATGCCAATTATGCTATTGGTAAGGATACAGCAGCTATGAAAGCTGTGGTTGGTGAGGAGGCACTTTCTGACGAAGATCATTTATATTTGGAATTTTTAAAAAAATTCGAATCTTAATATATTGCTTAAGTATAATATATATTTTTTTTTTTATATTTTTTTTTTTTATTTTTTTAGGGTCATTATGAAACTAGATCTATTTTCTAATCTTTAGATAAAGCTTGGGATTTATTGAGAATTTTCCCTCCTGATTCTTTAAAAAAAATAAAACAAAGTACAAAGGATGAATTTTATGCTAAAAGAGCTGATGATGATAATAAATGAGGAGATTTTTTTATATATATAAATAATATTAATAAAAAACAAAAAGGAAAATTAAAAAATATTTTATACATATATTTTTTTTTTTTATAATAAAAAAAAAAAAAATTAAACAATAAAAATATATAGAAAAAATAAAAATGAATATATAATAAAAATAATAATTTTCAAACTTTAGCAATTTAACAAATTTTAATTGAAGCATCATCCAGAAGTCCGACAAGTAAATTTTCTGATTATTCCCTATCATTTCTTTCATCATCAATTTACATTTTAATTTTATTTACAAGATCTTTAAGCATATCAAGTATATTACTTTCTGATTCTTCTCTATTTTTCTTATATTAATTAATTGCTTCTTTGGATTTCTTACTCTCTTCTTATATTTTTTTCAACGCAATTTTATCATTTTCTTCCCTTTCAAGATTTTCCTACTCCACCAACTAATAAATTTTCGGTAAATCACCTTCTAATTATTAATTAATTCCATTAAAAATCTCCACCCTTTCTTTAGTTTCTGCATTAAGCATTTAACTTAAGTATGCAATTTATTCATTTAAAATCTTAAGTTTTTTCTATTCATTTTATTTTCGTTAAATTATCACTTATTCGAGCTTATCAGATACTTTATTTTCTATTAAATTTATCATACTACTCCTATTTTCTATTTATTATTAAAATAAAACTTGATTTTCTTCTATAGATTTCTATAAGAATATAAATTCTTCCTTTAAAGATGCTATAGATTAATTATATTCTTCAATTGACTTATTAAATCTTTATTCTATTTATTAAACTTATATATCGAATGTGTCTATTCTATTCGCGTTTGATGTTTCTTAGTTTATTGGAATTTAAGCTAATCTATCGCTTATTTTCTGGAATCTTTTTGAATGGGGACTTGAATTTGTATTACTTTAGTAATAACTTGACATTTATTAATTATTTATAATTATATATTTTTTTTATATATTAAATATTTATTTCTAATATATGAAACAGTAATATTAAATTATAAATATAAAATACTTAATTAAATATACATTTATTTATTAAAAATGATAAAATATAAAATATATATATATATATATATATATATATATATATATATATATATATATATATATATATATATATATATTTTCATATATTCAATCCCAATCAGTTTACTAAAAATGTATTTTTGTAAAAGATTCTTATTATTAATTTAATTCATCAAAATTATTATTTAAGCTTTATTAATTGGAAGTTATTTATAATTTATTTAATGAAAAACTTATTTATTATTAATTATTAAATGCTTCAAAGAAAACGTTATTTAATATTTAACTTTATTACTTATTTTCTTATTATTCGCATATATTATTATTTGAAAAATATTCAATTTAAGCTTAAATATTTTAATATTTTTTATAAATAGGATATACTTTCTTTATATTTTTTTATTTTTTAATTTAAAAAATTATTTTATTTTATTTTTTAACCTTTTAGTTTTTATTTTCTTATAAAGCTATTTCCATTAAATCTTAAAAAAGCACATCTAATTTATTAAATTTTTATTTCCAAAAAGAAATTTATTCTTTATTTTAAATAACTTCCTTTTAATTGAATTTTTTATATTTTAATAAAATAAAAAATAGATAACATTTATATTTTCATCATAATTAAAATTGTTTTCTATTTGTTCTAAAACTCTATTCTAGTTTATTTTACATATATTATTATCCATTTTCTTTAAAACCAAATTTTCATATTATTATATACAAAATTGAGCAATAATTCCTGCTTTTATTTTCTCTTTTATACTATATATACATTTATTTTATATTATATAATTTGTTAAATTTTAAGAAACATTTTTTATAATTTCATTATTTTTAAACAATTTTTTTATAAGTAATAAAGCTATATCTAATTATTTTTTTATATTTTATATTTTAAAAGAAAAATAATAATAAAAAAAAAAAATTACCTAATTTTAATTCCATATTGTTTATATTAATTTCTTATAATATTATAAATTTTCTTAATTTAATATAGAATTTTACAAGCTATTAACAATTTTAATGAAAACAACAATATGCGTAAATCTAAGAATCTATTTAACTTTTATTATAATATTCCCAACTATAATATAATGTAAAGCATTTTTTAGCAATTTAATGCTTGTTTAATAATTTTTTGCTAAAATAACTAAAAAAATATTCACAAATGTCTTATTTTTATATATCTGAATTATTTGCATTAATATTATTTATATAATAGTAAACTATTTAATTTAATACACAATAGAATTAATACTCACCGATAATTTTTATTTGATATTAACTTTAATCTATAGTTTGATATATTTATAAGTAGATTTATAAGTTTTTTAATAATTTAAAATTATCTAAGTTTAATAGTTTCATGATAATATTATTATAAAATAATTAATTATCTTATCTTATGTAAAATAATAGAGTTAATCAAA